TTAACAATTGAACAGCATTTTTAAGATTTGCTTTTGCTGTATTCCAATCCAAATAGTGGCTCCTTGAGCCACTGGGTGCCAGTTCTCTGGGCTACATTTATTGAGCAGGGCATGGAGGAGCAGGTAATTTAAAAAAAACATATTTTTTGTTACATGTTATCCTAATGAACTAGCCACACACTAAGTCTTCTTTTACTGCCTTTCTAACTCCCAGTGGAGCATAGGCCTTCAACAGCCAGCTGACGCCAAGTCATTCTATCCTTCCCTATCTCATGCAGCTCTCCCCATGTTCTCCCCCTATCTTTTTAACTTCACTCTCTAGCTCCCTTCCTTTATGTTATATATATATATGTGTGTGTTGTGTATGTGTATATATGTATATATACACACACACATACACACATTTGGGAGGGGGATAAAAACAGATTATTACAAATTATTCTAATGAACCAGCCACACATTGAGTAGTACTTACTTAACCCATTGAACCCTAACCACACAGCTTGTAAAATGCTATTCCTGTGGGGCTCCTGCGTAAAACACAATCTCAGTGGAGACATTATTGTTCACAAATTGTGAGTTGTATAACACAACTAACTAAACTTTGCTGAATGCTGTGTTTTAAATTATACCTCTCTGCATGCACAACTATCTTTAAGTAAAAGTAAAGAATCTTGTTTTTTTTTTTCTCACTTTTTGAGCCACCACATTAGGTTTGCTACTGGAACATCTAAATTAATCTGGGCAAATTTGAGAGAATTTGAGTAACAAATGTAGTCTGGTAATCTTAGTTTCAGCTTCATAGCAAACGGGTCACCCCATAGTTGCTCTGCTCCTGTGCCAAGGAAAAACACACAAAATGTTTATCACAGTCCCTTGTGGAAAGATTGACAGACTGCTGTCTCAGCATATGCGCTAGAATACACACGCATTAAAAGCATACTTTAGCCATCCGAAGTGCTAACACAAACAGACCAACATTAGAAATACAGTTCATCATGGATGGTAGCACTAGTGACTAGCAGAAGTCACCAACAGATCAGCAGTTGCACACGCCATCAATTTTAATTGCATAATGGCACCACTAATATTGCGCCAACCTGCATCGCACCATTTTCTAAATCTACAATTCACACCACCACATTGGTCACAGTCGAAAAACATTCCAAATGAAATCTGCAGCTCACAGTGTCACGCCATGCACTCTACTGAGAAGCTGGGCAATGAAACTATACCCTTTCAGTCTACAAATGGAGCAAAAATGCAACGGCCACTGTTTGGCAGAAGCACACACACAAAAATTGCCACTGCTCCAAAAAGTGGCTGTGCCCAGCGTCCATTTTGACCTGAAGCATTGTGTGTTAATAAACGGGCACTCCTGCAGTACCCTCACTATTAGCTGGGGAAGGGACTTAGGACATTACATCCACCAGCAAGCGTCGCCCCTACAATGACCTGACAAATGTACCTAAAACTAGTGGATATTTTCAGGAAAAGGTGACTTAACAGTACCTCATTTAGATTTCACTGACACTTATAATTAGAAGTGAAATTTTTAAATATATTAATTTCAAGCTTTGTTTGTTATGGGTGCTACAATAATGTAGTGCTTGTCCCCATTAAATTCTAGGGCTCAAATTTGAATTGAATTATTTTTACATTTTTTATGGCTATAGCTCTCAGGTCGACCCAGCCTAATATAGTTACCAGGTGAAGCCTTGGGATGTAATGGAAAGTTGACTGCATCACCCATCAACGACCCATTGGTCTATGAAAATGTGTGTCTGTCATCATATGCTCAATGTGCCAGTGACATGAAAAGAGTCCTTAATTTTTTTTTTTTTACCAACTTATTGTTTATTAAAAGAATAAAGAGGAAAAGGCGAGCTTGCCGCTCTGTAATAATTTAAAAAATGTTTTAACTCTTTCAGTGCAAAATTATTTATGTGGTTTGGACAGCATTAATTTCACTAATACTAGTTTTTCAAAACAAGTTCTTGCAAAATTTATTTTCCTAGCAAACAAAACAATAGTAGACTGCCTATGACCAGAGCCACTTAAGTGGCTACATGTCCTAACATAAAGGATTCGTCAGCCACTTAAGTGGTGATATGCCCTTAAAGAGTTAACAAGTGGAAATAATTCTTCTTCTTCTTCTTTTATCATCTCACTGATACCAGGTTGTAGCCCAGTATCTTGGTTTTCTGTATTTGTCTTGCGCTTCTTGGGTAGGCTGAGTGATGAATTTGTTCATCATTTTGCAAGTTTCAGCTAAACCAAATCTAAACATAGCAATAGAATACAAAGGCATTAAACAGGAATCTGAGTTTAAATATCTGGGAACTACATTTACCGAAGATGGGAAATTGGATAAAGAAATTGACATTAGATGCAGTAAAGCAAACCAAGTATTGGGACAGCTAGCCCCCCCCTCTTACAGCATAAGACAATCCCAATCAGCACAAAGAGACATCTTATTCAAAGCATATTTATTCCAACTCTGTGCTACCAGTGCCAGACATGGTCACTCACAACAAACCATAAAAGAAAATTAGTAACCACGGAAATGAGATGTCTGAGAAGGGCTGTAGGAGTGACCATAAAGAATAAGATCAGGAATGAGATCATAAGAGAACAAGTCGGCACAGAACCAATTCTGGATTACATACAAAGACAGCAAGTGAAATGGTTTGCCCACTTAGAGAGAATGCCTTGTGACACCATACCATACAAAGCATACATGGAAAGAGAAGAAGGACGTAGAGCACGGGGTAGACCAAGAACAAGATGGAAGGATAACATCAGAGAAACTCTACAACAGCACGATGTGCCTATGGTCGAGGCAGCCAGAAGAGCTAGAAACAGAACCTTATATCTCCCTCGACACCCACAGCGGTAAAAGAGGAAGTGAATGAAGAAGAAGAAGCTAAACCAAATATCTGTATCTTTCTTGGTCTTCCTCTCACCTTTCTCCCAGATGTTCTACTGTAAAAAGTCTGGTCTGAATGCATTTTTACTAGATGGCTAAACCATTTAATTCGTTGTCTGTCAATATAATCCGGACATGGTCTTATTCCAGCTTTCTCTCTGGTGCTGATATTCATAACCCTGTCTCGTCTAACGCTGTTAGTGGAAATAGTTAGTTATTATAATGTGTATGCTGTAGATAAATGCTGGATCTTACCTGATTCATATGGATTTGGGACAAGGTAGAACTGAGGATGGATGGGGGAAAACAGATACGGCTATGTTTGCCCTATCCATTTTCTTCACCTTTTGATTCACTAAAATGTCTTTAATTCTTTCCCAGAGTTCTAATTCTCTCCCAAAGCTCTCCATTGGTGATTCCATCATACTATTTTATTTCCTTTATTCTGGACAGGCATCTGTTAATAAATGTTAAAAGTTTGTCATTAAAAACTTTCTCTTGTAGGTTCCAGAGCCCCATTTTGGATGGGGAAAAAGAATTTACCCACTGCCTACAGCAAGCATGTCGCAAAAGGTGACAAATTGGGAGTTTTATTGGATTTAAGTGTTCAGGCAAATGGTGCAGATATTGCAGCCTAGCTGTAAACTACCGTCCATCATATGGCTATAGTTCCCATGTCGACCCAGCCTAAAATAGTTAGTAACAAGTGAACCAACTGGCAAGCAAAGCAAAACGCATGTGGGAAGAAGCATGGACAGAGCAGATATTGTCAACACTGTACAGGCTGGGCTAGTGGATAACGATGAATCTCTGAAACTAACACAATTGCATGACATCGGAGTAAAGCATGGTGAAACATGTCTATGCTGCCTTCGAAGCGAGATAGGAGACATTATAACCAACTTCTCATAGGAACACCTTGGAGTGGTTGCTGCATTGGAGGACTGAGGATGCATGGGAATGCCCAGTGTGCAGTGGTGATAACATAACATCATACCAGATGTCTTTCTAAGGGTGAATGCAGAAGAAGAAGACTAATCTCATGACCTCTTTTAGTATCCAATGATTGTTAAGGAAACATATCCTTCCCAAAAAAAGTGTGTGTATTTTAACTCTTCAACACCCGAGCAGCGCTGCGAGTGTTGACTGTGAAGTTCCAATTTGCCTAAACAACACTGTCAGTGTCGTTCGTGTGACCCAAACATATTGCTTCGCACACGGCTCAGTATATTTGTTTCTAATGTTCTGAACTACCATAAAAGTATTCAGGGAAGGTTACTTTAACATTTTCCTTTGAATAAAATTCCAAAACATGTGGGCAGATTGATCCAATTTGTAGCTAGCGTTGAACATAAGGTAAAGGAATGTACCCATGGGCCATTGACTCTTTCTATCCCAGGCAGTGCACCACACATTTGTTTTTAGCTCTTTACAAGAAAGGTTCCTTCTTCACTCCAAGTCTCATCTTATCGTTAAAATAACACAATATTTGTGTGTTCATTGTTTATCTTTGGTAAGGTTATTTTATGATATCCTTCAGATTCAGTTTTAATTAATTTTAAATGACTAAGTCATCAGACAGAATCTTTTTTAAAATGCAACTGCATGGGCCCAAAAGAGGTAATGAGTGAAGTAGCTAATAGACTACAGTGGATTAGTGAAACAGTAGAATGGGTCAGAGGCGGCCTAGAAATGTGTGTTGTATAGAGAGTTATCAATAAACCACTGATGAGTCAATGAATGAATGGACATCACTGCACTGAGGACATTCCAACGTGTGCTCCTTCTCCTTCCTCAGTAGCCTTTGAAGAGTCAGCATGCTAATATTACCAGCTGCAATCTGATTAAAATTTCCTCTCTTCCCCCCTTCCCCCTCAGTGTTGAATGTTTTCCAGAACCTTTACTCACCCCCACCCCCTCCCTTTTTTCTTGTGAATTAGTTTTTCAGTATAGATGTCTGTTCTATTGCATTATTCCACTGATGATATATCAGATGCTGTCAGAATTCAGGATAATTGTTTGTGAATGTAAAGTAATATATTTTCTCCTGCTAGTGTCTACATTCGTGAAAATGGCAGATAACTCAATGAACACAAGGAGCAGGCCGGTTTCTGCATCAGAAAATGGAACACAGATACACACATCAGAAGGGGTGGTTGACAACTTGAGGTCTGAAAGCACAGATCTTCATGCAGGTATCTTCTTCTTCTTCTTTTGTTCGCTTGAAATAGATTATCTATATCTGCGATGTTGTATGCAGGTATTGATGCAGTGGTTTCTTTTAATTTGTTTGTCTGTCTGAATGAAAGTATACTTTGTTTTGCTAAGATTTGCACCAGTATGATTTAGTTTTACTTGATTGCTTTGTTTGATGCCTGTCAGGATTTTTGTTTCATTTCTACTATAACTAAGGATTGGAGAGCCTTCATGGTGAAGCAGCTAGCTACTCACCTGCGGATCAGAAGGTCGTAGGTTTGGGTCTTGACAGAGCCACACTTTAAACAAAAAAATGACCTTTGCTTGAGTGGGTACCAGGTACAGTCCTGGGAAGTGAAGGCATCCGGCATGATGCTGACCACGTCACCCACCAAGTGCCATTTAGTCTATAAAATAGGTTCAGCCCTATATTCCCAATACGCCTGAAGACATGGAAAAGGGTCCTTTGCTTTGAATTGAGGATTATATTCTAGAGCTTGTGTAAGATTTGAAAGTAGCAAATATCAGACACACTGAGGGAAAAAACACTGCATACAATTCATTGAGAAGCAGAAAATCAAATGATTTGGTCCTCTTGTTAGCATGCAGCCACAACCACTACTAACAGAATTGCTACATCTGAGAAGATCTGGCTTGAAAGCAAGTGGTTGCCCAAGGAGAAGATGGATTGATGAAATTAGAGACATTCTACATCAGCACAGACTGACAATAGCCAGTGCTGCTGATCGAGCAGTGGATGGCAGTTTGTTCTTCCCCCATAACACTTAAAGACAAAAGTGGGAAATGACTAGGCTGATAATGACACAAATACTGCTGTAGAACATAGCAAATTTTGAGTCAAGTTGAGTCCACAATTGACATCACAGCATGCGGGGCATTCCCATGCATGCTTTGTCCTCATCTTCAGCAACCAGCACAAAGTTCCAATACTGATGGTACTGGTCACAATCTGGTTATATGTCCATCTTGCCTTTCCTCTGAGTGTAGTGAGCCGGCCAGACCCTCTGGTAACACCCAGGTGTCTCATTCTCTCCAGGCCATAGTAATCTTCTTTCTCTACTGATTCCGTAGCAAGTGATAATAGCCAGTGACAAGAGCAAATGTTTATTTTATTCCATATTATATTTTTTGAGTTTATACTTGGCAGGCTGTTAATTAAAATCCTCATGTATTTTGTGTACGGCTTAGAGGTTAAGAATGCAGTTTCACAATCCGGACCTACTGGGATTCTAATTCAGCTGCAGGCGATTTGGTTGCAGACTACTTTGCTTTCATTTTGACAGTCTCCTCCATTTGGATGCCAAGGCCTCATTTTGGATTTTAAAAAATAATAGCCCCTCCTTTTCCCAGTCCAATCATGTTGTAAATGTAGACTAATTAGGGGGATCCCCACTGAGTATATCTTCCTGAGACATTAGGAACAAACAGCTTGCTTACAAATAGGCCAGATTTGTAAAATAGATGTGCACACAAAACTCAGGTTCTAACACAAGACTAAAGACCAGATGTAGATGAACAGCCAGAACTTTCAGCTGGAATTAACAGCCTGAGAATTTGAAGAATAATATGAGCATCCTACCATTAAGGAAGCATTGGCAAACTGCTGAATTAAAAATTAACAATAAAATGAACTTTTCTTGCTGTTGTGGTTTTTCTAGGCAAATTTACTTCCAGTAGTTAGCCATTGCTTTCTGGACGGTCGGCTTTCTGTACCACGGTCAAAACCATCGCAAGACAAACCGTCCGCAGCAGGGATTGAACCTGGCACCCCAACATTATGAAGCTCATTCGCAGCACCTAAGCCACAGACGCCGACATAAAATCAACCAATAGTGAATAAATCCTGGGTTTGTTTTGCCCTCTGACCATGGCAAGCATCACTTCAAAGGTCCCGGGTAGTTGGAGTCCTTTAGATATTTTCTCCAGGAGATGTCAGTGTGTTAGGAAATGAGTAGGCAGAATGACTGGCCAGTTCTGCACCACTTGATGGTGACCTGATGTATGAAAACCAGGTTGTTGTGAGGGCCCTTTGGGAGTGAGAGAACAGTGCGGAAGCACAAATTGATCATTACAGTCTGAGGACAGTGACACTGCGGGGAGTTACCACGAAATCTGTTCAACATTCAAGGGAAAGGTGAGACGGATGTACAGTCGGACAGTTACTAGTACCATCAGAAATGGAACTCTTCGCTTGCTGCTGAAGATGGGGACAGAGCGTTTATGAGAGTGTCCTGAGGGCTATGATGTCAATTCTTAATTTCAGCATTCAACACTCTCTCACCTTATATTGTTCCCAAGCTCAAGAGTGAATGCATGTTTCCACAGCTCCACCTTCATTGTAGAGGCTGCCCGCGTTCAGAATGTATTTCTGCTAACTGTGACTATTTATTGTCTGTATTGCAGTTCAGAAATCGATCTCCACCACCTGTGTCACAGCCGGGGACCCACCAGGATGTCTGGAAGCCCAGAAGGCAGTTTCAGCAGGGTGCTGCACTGCAGGTTCACCAGAGGAGTCAGAGGCTGCTTCTGCTGCTGCTGTAGAGGAGGCAGTGAACAGTTTTGTGACTGCCGTACACAAGAAATATAATGATGATGCAGATGCTGATTACAGCTTCACAAAGCCAACAGGAGACATTGTGTTTGTACCCAAATCTGGACCTGTTAAAATGACAGGTATAGATAGATAGATAGATAGATAGATAGATAGATAGATAGATAGATAGATCGATAGATAGATAGATAGATAGATAGATTGATCGATAGATTGATCGATAGATTGATCGATAGATTGATCGATAGATACATAGATAGATACATAGATATATAGATAGATAGATTGATCGATAGATTGATTAATAGATAGATCAATGAGCGATAGATATATAGATAGATGGATGGATGGAACAAATGAATGAATGAACAAACTTTATTTTCAAAGGCTTACAGATTTATGGTTTATATGACTATTCGTATGTAAGAGATCAAAACAAATAAAACTTGTGTATCTTCAAATATTTGTGGCGCACAGTTTGGGAATTACTGATCTAGACCCTTAGAAATTAGTATCATGAAAATATTCTTTACTTTAATAATTTTCTGTTTTCACCATATTTTATCTGTTCCACATCTGCTTTAATCTATATTGTTGATGGATGTATATTTTAGCCTCAAATAACATCATACTGCCCTATTTTATCTGTTCAGCCTCTGCCCTATTCTGTATTGTTGAACGGTTTTATTTAAGCCTTGGGTAACATCATGCTGCCCTATTTTATCTGTTCAGCCTGTGCCCTAATCTGTATTGTTGATTGTTGTATATTTAAGCCTCAGGTAACATCATACTGCCAAAACAAGTCAGCATGAGTGGATGTGAGATTAATGTGGCTGGAGATCCCGCCCTCATCCAGAAAATGTGCCAGAAAGTGCAAGAGCTAGACCTCATGGAGAATAGCATTTCAAGTTGGGAGGAGGTAATGGTTGTTATCTATTTGAGTTTCCTTTGATTGTTTACTTCACTCAAACTTTTCATTTGTATGCGTTGAAATGTAGATGTAAGAGTAAATCTTCTTTTAGTTCCTCATGCCAGTTGTTTTTAGATGAGAAGGCCACAAGCCTCTATGAAGTGTGTGATGTGATGCATGACTTCTACTAACCCATGCAGCTTGGTCTCCATTAGAAGTCCAACAGGGCCAAACTGGGAATCTCTCTACCACATCTAGAGAGCTGTTTGTTCAGGGCAAAGTTCTGAATCCCCATTATTGAATTTCTAGTCCCCGAGTTGAAATCTGTTCTAATGTCAGGTGTGTCCCTTGCAGGCAGGCCACCTCGATTTTGTTCTTTGTGTAGTTTGTGGGTGACGTCTAGGTTTTTACTATATGAAGCCTCAGCATTCCATTGCAGTATATGCAGTTTTCTTAGAGGAAAATAAATAAGCTAATAGGCTTGCTGTAATGGCTGCTATGGACTACTGATTGACCTGAGAGAGGCAAGGTTACTACATTGATCACATTATAACTGTGAATTGGCAATCTTGACCATATGGGTTCATCTGAGTAAAGATCCAACATCACAGCATTCAGAACAAACCCATATTGTCTCCAACTCCCTTCTCTACAGCCAATGAAGAGTCCAAAAAAAACCTGGACCAGACTGCCACCACAGCAAGTATCTATGGTGAAATGGTTACACCATTTGCAGAATGCTCAGAAAGTTGTAGTTTCAGTTTTGTACTTCTACCTTTGGTTTTTGAAAGTGTAGGGGTTTTAGATATCTGGGCAGATGGTTGCTAGAGCAATGGAGTCCATGCTTTGTGCACAGCTCTTGCAGGTGACCAGAAATACTGCAGAGACACTTAACGATATGGAATCAAACACACCAGAAGGAAATTTTTTTTCTCTCACTTTTAAAACACATTTCTTTAAGGTAAAGCTAGATGAGAATGATGATGCACGCTGTCAAAGAACAAGATAAACAGAACTGGTATTATCAGTAGCGAAACTCTAATAGACATACTGCGTAAGGAAAAATATGCCAAATTATGTGTAGCTGTCCTATTTCGATAATCGTCATCATCAAGTGTTGTGCCACCTGGCGTAGGCGTTCATGTATCTCCACAGATCTCAGTATTTGGTGTTCTGATCAATTCCACTGATGTTATTCCTCCATGCCACTGTCTTAAGCCATCCACCATCATTTATTTTGTTCTGTCACATGACTAAAGAACTTAATTTCTGTAATCGGTATGCAATTTTCATCTGTTTTTAGAAAGATTGCCTCATTCTAATTTCTGTGAACTTAGAGTTTTCTTCAGGAAGTACATTTCTGCTATCATTAGTTGTTTCTCAGCTCATCTGCTTATTGCCCATGTTTCTCATGCATAGACTGGTTTATGCTCTATAAGCATTTTAACATTATTATACTTACTGCAGGTGACTTCTTTTTTGTAGGTGCCTGTTATCAATGGAAAGTGAGATAAAAACCATAGTGTCTCTATTGTGTGATGTTTGCTGAGGCAAATGGTCTTTATAACCTATGTCTGTGGCTTAGGCGTTGCGAATGCTCTACGTAATGCCGGAGTGCGGACAATTTGGCAACAGATCATCTTGTGTTGTTTTTGACCGTGGTACAGAGAGCTAATTGTTAAGAAAGCAATGGCAAAATACTGAATGTAAAATATGCCTAGAAAAACCACAGCAGCCAAAAATGGTGGTGTTGGTTGTGCAACATCCTGTAAAAGATATGCAACTAACAGATAAAGCTTTTGGCTGATCCTAGCGATGGTGTAGATAATTACTTTGATCATTCAGGTGCCATCTTCACGGTGAAAGTTAGCTGCAGTGGATCTCCATCATTCTCTGTTTCCCACCATCTTAGTACACACTGTCATGATCAGTCAGTAGGTCCTTACAGAACATTGCTCTCGTCATATCACCACTGAAAGTATCTCTTTCTCTTTCCAGTTTACTAACCCTATTTGCTTTCATAGCCACTGCATCTTCAGTGCCTTGTATTCATATTTAAGGAGGTCTGCTTCTGCCCTGTGGTCCAAAAACTTTAACCTTTATCACTGATCTCTCTTGGCCTGTTTCAGCTGTCTCTCTCTCTGACTACTGTTTATCCACATAGGCAACAAGAAGCTTGCTTGCTGTTAGGGCAAGACATTCTGTGGGTAAGGTGAATGGTCATTATAACTTAGTCTGTGTCTTAGGCGTTGCGAATGCGCTACCTAATGCCGGAGTGCGGACGATTTGGCAACAGATCATCTTGTGTTGTTTTTGACTGTGGTACCGAGAAGCTTGCTGGTAGGGCAGGGCAGTCTGTATGTGAAGTGATTTTCTAGTTAGGCATTCTGTGTATGGCTTGTACTTCATTTTTCCAACAACCTGAGCTTGCATGCTAAAAACTTCTTTCTAATTTCAGACTAATCAAGAACTTTGTTTACTAATACAGTGGAACTCCAATATTCTTCATTAATCCATTCCAGAGGAATTATTTATTTACATTTCTCTTTAACCTTTGTATCATCTGTTGTTAAAATATTTAATCACATATCAATTACAGAATGTTCCAGAACCATTCACAGCACCTTTTATGCTTTTATTCATCAGCGTGCAATTGCTTACTGGACTTCAGCTGTCAATATCATTGTTGAAATTAAGGCAGAAAAATTCTTACAGTATTGTGGACCAAGAAAAGGGAAAAGGCCAACATCCTCCGTGACCTGAACATCAAGGAGAACTGACTTATGAACAGCAACTTCTTCTGAAAACTGGGGTATTTAGCCTATGTCAAGCACTATGGTCATCTGGGGGTGCTGTTTCCAGAAAATGAGGCAGAGGCCAACCTCCGCGAATGTGGATACAGTACATTGAAGATGTATTGTCTATGACAGCACACAGGGCTGGAGAATTGGCTAGAGAAAGAGAGACTTTCAGGTGTGCCGTGGAGAGAGTGGCGTTCTGTCAAGAACCTGCTGATTGATTGATTAGTCTGCTGCATGTGTTGTTTATCATCATCATCAGTTTCCACTTCTGCCGTTAAGCATTGTGGGGAGGAACAGTATGCGATCCATTGCTTGATGGGAAGCAGTGGCTACTGTCATTCCATGTCGATGTTAAAACTCTTTAATGTCATCAATCCATATCTGCTAGGACAGCCTCTTTCTCTCACTCCAGATTCTTTCATGTGTAGCGCCTGCATTGGTAGTTGTTCTGACTGCATTCTTACTAAAGGACCATACCATTTGATCTTCTGTTATTCTGTTATGCATTTGTTATTACATGTCTAAAATAGGAAAAACTTGATAGTTGCTTGTATCTCTCTGATTTTATATGATGTTCATTACTGGCCTCTCCTTTCCACTATTTATTACCATAGTTTAATTTTTTTTTTTTTTTTCTGTAAAGTAAAAGATCTACATTTTCAATTGCACCTATTTACATCCTCTACTGAGTCTGCAATGCTTATTTCATTTTTTTAGGAAACTATGCCTGCTTACTTTTTTTATTTTTTTTTGTGTGTAATCTAGGTCTTGAGCATTATAGAATGTATCCCGAATTTGACCTTTCTGAACCTCACCAAGAACCAGCTGACCTCTGCCCTGCCTGACCTCACAAGCAGAAAGCTGCCACATCTGACTCAGCTGGTACTTAATAACACCATGGTCACTTGGGATGCAGTGCTGCAACTGTTAGAAGCCTTTCCTAGGTACTGTACTTGTTGCATGGTACCACACTTTGTGTTCACTTCCACATTTGCCCTTGAAAGAGTAGTTGACCCATTGTGTTGTTGTTTAGAACTAAGCTGGGATATTCGTGCCTTTTAACCCGACCTATCCAAATTCAGCAAACCAGTGAATGGTCGCCTTTTACAAACTTGCTTGTTAGTCTTGGATGGCGCAAGTTGAAGACACAACTGGACCTGTGTGCAGGCGTGATAAATTTGAGTGAGGAGAGGAGTGGGTCAGGGTGTCCGAACAAGTTTCAGACTTGTGTCGGGTTCTTCTAACTTTAGGTTCTTAGTGCAGAGACTGGCCAGCTGGTGCTACAGAATCAGAAGTTCAACAAATGATTCTTGATAATTCCCGTCCAAGTGATGTGATTATCTATACAGATGGCTCTGTGATGAGGAGCAGACGAAGTGCATGGGGGTTTTGGGAACTTCTCTCCAGGGCATGCTGGTGTGTTGGGAAATGAGCAGACAGAAAGACTGGTCGGATCTGCACCACTTGGTGGTGAATTGATGTATGACAAACTCTTTGTGCGGAGACGCAGATAAATAATTACCGTCTGAGGAGAATGGTGTTAGGAGAAGTTACCAGGGGATCTGGCCGACGCTCAACACCCAGGGGAAGTATGAGACGGATATACAATCAGACGGTTACTGGTGCCATCGGAATTGGAACTCATCGCTGCTGCTAAAGATGAGGACGGAGCACTTATTGAAGTGTCCCGAGTGCTGTGATGTCAATTCCTAATTCAACATTCAACCAACTTGTTAAATGGAGCAGTTTTTTTCATGTTTTTTTATATTTTTTTTAAACACTATAGTAAAGTCGTAGAAGCTACACAGAGAGTTTGAATGTGTCGCATGTTTCTCATTGTTACCAGTATCAGTGTAAAAAATAGTCTAGGCTGTCAAATATTTTTCCTTGTTTTAAAATAAATATTAAATGTTCAGAATAACATTTTGTGCAGTGTGAATTTAAATGATGAGGACAAACAATGTATACAATATAAGAACAGACAAGAAGGTTTTTTTTTTTTTTTTGGTACTTAAGAACAAAATAGCCAGCTAATAGGTTCTAACTGGGTGATATTGCCAGTAGTGGGAGGGATATGGGGAGCCCAGATGTGACATACCATATTGTTGAGTTTCTCTTGTTGGAAATATTTTTTGGCATTCTGTTTGTTTTTTGGGTTTTTTCTGTTTAACTTCTGCTGTTATTTGTTCTTGAAACGACCTTAGCTTTCAGGTCAGCCCATTGAGTTGCATATTCTGCTACATTAGACTTGATTGCTCATCTTGTGGGTCTCCAACACGTTACATGTGTCATAAGGGGGAGGGGGGAGGAGACCTATTGCCCATTAACAAGGCATGTAAAAAAGATGATTAATTGAGGATTTGCTTAAATTGTGTGTCTGTGGCCTAGGTGTTGCGGACCGGCTTTGTAATTCCGAGTTGCTGGGGTTCTATTTCAGCTGCAGGTGGGGGAAAGAGGGGTGGGGGTGTAGTAGCAGATCACCTTGCATTGGCTTTGTCAGTGGTATCAAGAGCAGACCGTTCAGAAAGCTTCGGCAAACTACTGAAGGTAAACAGTGCCTAGTGAAATCACCATATCTTCCCGTAAAAATAAAATAAAGGACCTTTTTTCACACCTACGGTTGTACTGGGCACATAGGGCTGGACCGATATTTTTTAGACTAATAAGCAGTTGGTGGGTGATGTGGTCAACTTTCCTTGCCAGTAGTTTTCCTGGTACCAATTTAAGGCTAGGTTGACCTGGAAGCCAAGGTCATTTTTAGTAGAAAAATAAAAAGTCTGGCTTCCTTTGAATTTGAAACCTCAACTTTTGGATCAGAATGTGGGGGCCAAGCTGCTACACCCTGGCGGCCCCCCTATCCTCCACTTGCAGTCTGTTGTAATAGTGATAAATATGCCTATAGTATTAAATTTAACTAGATGGAAATGGCTCTCACAAGGATAAGAGAGGGAAAGAGAAAAAAGCATCACCTAAAAACAACATGGAGACATGGAAAACTGCACTGAAGATTGCATAGGACAGGAAAGCATATAAAGTCCTCTCTGAAGCCTCATGTGCCACTAGGCATAAAGAGAATTTATGATGATTAATGATTATATTAATTCTGTTTCTCCCATGCATATCTCTCCCATGTATGATATGTGATCGGCTGTCATTCATGCTAAGTCACTTTCAAGGCACATCAGGTCAGCAGCAGTGTGCCACTATAAAGGATATCAGAATATCAGCAATTTCCGTGTTCTTTTCAGATGAAGACAGTATCAAAGGTTGTTATCATTACAATAAGACTAATTAGTCGGCGACTAGGGCTTAGGCGTTGTAAGCACTTCCTAATGCCAGGGTACTAGATTTGATCCCAGCTGCAAATGATTTGTCTTTTGTTGGTTTCGACAGTGGTACTGAGAGCTGGCTGTTCAACAAGCAGTGGTAAACTGGTTAGTTGCGTATCCTTTACAGGACGTTGCAGAACCACCCCCAACAGCGCCAGGCTGTTGTGTGGTTTCTCTAGGCAAATCTACGTCTAGTAGGGAGCCCTTGCTTTCTGGACGGTCGGCCCCCTGATACCTCTGTCGAAACCAACGCAAGGCGCATGGCCCGCAGCTGGGATTGAACCAAGCACCCCGGCATTACGAAGCGTTCGCATCGTCTTAGGCACAGAGTCGGCAGTGGTAAACTTTTGAACGTAAAATTAGCTGAGGAAAACCACAACAGCAAAAACAAATGCTGGAGTTGGTTCTGCAACGTCCTGTAAAGGATATTCAGCTAACTTGTAAAGACTAATTAATATAATAAGGTACATCTAAAAAGCTCAATTCATTAGCCCTTCTGTTGTATACATTGTTTGCCCTCATGTGAATGCGCTATGGAAAACAAATTGTTTTCAACATTTACTATTTTTTTTTTTTTGCGTCCTGATGGGGCCAGACTTTTTTCAAAAATGACCTTGACTCCCCTGTTGACCCAACATTGAGTGTTTACCAAATGCAGTTCTGGGAAGTAAAGGCCGGCGTGGTGCTGACCACATCACCTCCTAAGTGCTGATTGGTTTATAGCCCTATATTCCTAAATGGCATGAAAAGTGTGGAAATGGGACCTTTACTTTACTCACTATTTATTTTCAAATGCAGGAAAATATTTGTTAGCTTGGACAGTTTGTTTTATAAAATCAGCCAGTTTTTATGTTACATTACAGAATAGAGGAGCTACACCTCAGCTTGAATGGGTTTGAATCTGTCAGCATTCCAGTATCAACATCAGCAGCATCCTCCACAAAATCATCATCAGAATCGGCTACGCTGACCAGCTACCCGAATCTACACAAGCTGTTTTTTGTTGGCAACAGTATTGTCGACTGGAGAGAGTTTAACAAGCTAGGAGCTTTCTTCCCACACCTACAGTTTCTCTTGATATCTGAAACAAACTTGAAAGAAATTCAAGGGGCAGATGAGATTGCAGATTGCTTCCCTTGTTTGCATACGCTTGGTTTAAACAGAACTCATCTGAAGTCATGGGAGGAGATAGAAAAGTTGAGACTGTTTCCGTGTTTGAACGATGTCAGACTAAATGGGATACCGTTTTTAGAGGTGAGCCTTTCATGCTTGTTGAGCTTGTTTAAAGGAATTGTTTCCATAAATGTTTCAAACCATGCCTATAGGGCAGGGCTTTTTAACTGGCATGAGGCCTAGAAAGTGGCCCACTGATCATTGCCAGTTGTATTATTTTAATGTTCTTTCAATGCTTGGGCTGAGGTCACTGGTCTGTGATGACCCCCCCCCCCCTCCCCCCCCCCCTCCCCTACGTCAATATTGTGTTCCCTGAGCAAACAGATTTGAATAGCCTTGGGTTTAGGTATAGAGTGCTTGCTTACCAAAAGAGTGATCAAAGTTTAGCCACACTAGTGTCAATTCATTTTTTTCCAGTCAGTACATATGCAGAGTCTACCCAGCCTCATAAATGGGTACCAGATACCAGCATGTATTGGGAATTGTATGGTTGCCATATGTCCTCATTTTTGTGGACACATCCTCATTTCATGAGTAAATCTGAGCATCTGCAAAAAGTTGTTTGATGGCAATTTTACAAGCCAACACAAAATTAGCACTATGGGACTATGCTGGAAAATGTAGAAGTTAATTGTAGCACAGTTCTTCTTTGTTATTCCAGCCCACCATAGTTAGATAGACTATTTTATTTAATCCATACCCAGTAGTCCAGTGAGAGAAATCGTCTTAGTGTAGATTCAGTCTGTTTCACTGTAAAATTTAATTTCAGATATTTCCCCTGCAGGCAATATTTTGGTTTTTGATGCAAAAGGAGGAACATTCTTTAAAAAAAAAGAAAAAAGAATCAGGTCATCAAAAAATATACATGGAACATAACTAAAATAGAATTTAAGTTAGGAAAAGTTTCCTCATTTCAGAAGATCAAAATATGGCAACCCTAGAAAACTGTCTGGTTGGGAGCGAAACTGACCCCGCCCCCAAAATACACACCTGATTGTGCCATAGCTCAGATCCTTTCTTACTATTTAGTATCTTTTCTCTTGCTCTCTGCCTCCAATGTTCCTATGTTTCCTGATGAGATCCACTGTACTCCTCATACAGTTAAAGTCTGTGCCATCTCCACAGTGAAGGTTGGCTACAATGTACCTTTAGGAATATTACGTGGGGAAGACCCAGTCTCTTCCATTTCTCATAAGTAAGTGGGTGTTTAACATCAAGAGAATCAACTTCATTGCACCAAAAAAGCTTGATCTCTTTCCACAGCAGAAAGGCTGCTCTCCTGCTGAGAGCATTACACAGAGCGTGAACTCTATAGCTTCATTGACAACAGATATCTTGGAAACACCTGCACTTGATACATTTTCAAAAATACCAAACCCAGAATCTTCAGATTGCAAACAAGCTGCAAAACCATTTTACTAAAGAGACCTCTTACTCCTTCTTACAACATCTTTACAGAATGTTCTTCTTCTTCTTTTGTTCACTTGAAATAAATAATCTATATCTGCAATGTTGTCTCTAGTATGAACTTCACTGTCTTTTGTAAGTCACTCAGCGACCCGTCAAATTTAAGTTGTATTGATTTTTCTCTTGGCCAAAGGTTTTGCCTTGATATGTTGTATTTAGGACAGTCTTGAAGGACATGATCTGTTGTCTCAGGTGCCAATCCACATGTGCACTTGGCTGATTCGCAGATTGTAAATGGTGTGTACATGTGGCTGCGAAGTCGGTTGTGTCCTGTTTCTTAGGCCTAGAATAATAACTTGCCTTAGTCTGTCCATGAAATGGTAATGGTCTTGTGCTGGTTTTGGTGGCTTTCTGATTGATTTGATACAGTATGTTTAGTTAGTCTCATGGCAGATATAGCTGTTGGATTTCTGGTAGTGGTCATGGTTTTTCCTCTCTAGGATTGCTGTCTCTATGATTAACAACTCAAGGATGAGAACCAGGCAGGAGCAAATCCTAGAAGGCCTGCTCAACCATTTAACACAGTTTATATTAGGGCACTGCTACGATTACAAGTAACCTGCATTCCAGTGTAGGGGTGGAATAATCTGACTGTTGGGTTGGAAAATGTTATAGGTCTTCTATAATTCTGGGTTATGGCATCATGACATTTGATGACAAGTTTTTTTTCTCACATCTTTAACTTTCTATCCCAGACAGTTCCCATGAAATTCTTGAAAAGTTTTGTTATAGCTGCCACCATATAATGTATTTTCACATAATTTTTATTAATTTTACTGATTTTTTTTTTTTTTGTCACTAGGTTCTAATGAAGTTTTCAGAAAACACTGTATTTTCACAATTTTTCTAATAGATCTGCTAGAAGTGTCGGCTCTGTGGCTAAGTCGATGCGAACGCTTCGTAATGCCGGGTTCAAACCCAGCTGCAGGCCATGCACCTTGCGTTGGTTTCGACAGTGGTATCAAGAAAGCCAACCATCCAGAAAGCAATGGCAAACTACCGGATGTAAATTTCCCTAGAAAAACCACACAACAACCAGGGGCTGTTAGGGTTGGTTCTGCAACGTCCTGTAAAGGATATGCAACTAACCTAACCTATATAAGTCCTTTTTAATGCTATATACATTTTTCTTTATCTTTACTGTTAATATTTACAGACATTATTTTGAAATCTGTATTTCTTGCTTCATATTTCATCCCCATGTAAATACCACTGTGTTGTTTTATATTTTCTAGCTGCAACTGTTTTGTCTGTCTGCTTCATGTTTACATCCTTTTGCCACTTCAGATGTCCGTCCTGGTTCTCACTCTTCTCACTGCCTTGATCTTAAATACAGCTTAAGTCTGTAGAGTTTCAGCAGTGTTATCTATCCACCTGTTCTATGTTTACCTTGGAATCTACACCACATTTCTTCTTTTGGTATTTGCCTTGTATTGAATAGTACCTGAGGCATACTTTCTAGGTATACAAAGCAATTTGTGTGGCTATCTTTGTATGTAATTTGTATTCTTTCAGTGCCAGATTTTTTTTGTTTTATGACCTCATTTCTAATTTGTTTATTTTTTGGTCACTCTCGCCTCCTTTTTTTTCAGTCATCTCATTTCTGACTCTAACATTGCCATGCTAAAATTTCATTTAATTAGTCCAGTTGTATCTCAGTACATTCACTGTAGCGATAATTTTACCAAATGTGGAGTATGTGGAGTTAACTCTTTGAGTCCCAGGGGGTTTTGCATCAAAGGCGGGGGGGGGGGGGGGGGGGGGGGGGGGGGGGGGGGGGGGGGGGGGGGGGGGGGGGGGGGGGGGGGGGGGGGGGGGGGGGGGGGGGGGGTGGGTGGGGGGGGGGGGGGGGGGGGGGGGGGTGGGGGGGGGGGGGGATGGGGGTGGGGGGGGGGGTGGGTGGGGGGGGTGGGGGGGGGGGGGGGGGGGGTGGGGGGGGGGGGGGGGGGGGGGGGGGGTGGGGGGTGGGGGGGGGGGGGTGGGGGGGGGGGGGGGGGGGGAGGGGGGGGGGGGGGGGGTGGGGGGGGGGCTCTAAATGAACATAAATGGATAAGGATTAATATTAGCATACTGCTACAACAAACAATTATACTGTTAGTTAGTATTTAGTAAAGAAAACAGTGACTTAGTTTGAGAGGTTAGTAAATTAAGAACAAGTTTTTTTCCACTTACCTAAAAGCTGATCCCAAAATTCTTGATATAGTATATCCAAAATGCACCACTAATAAGTATGCACAGCCAATACTAAAGCAAATGTGCAATAGTTGTTGTTACATAGCAATTTTAATAACACTACCATAACAGGACAAAATATATTCTCCAGTGTTCTGTGACACTAGCTGGACATGGAGGCTTGAGAAGAAACCTTGATTGTGTCCTTCCCTCAGTAACACCTCTCCACTGACTACGACTATCATTCTGGTGTGTACGACTAGTAGTACTTGTACTAGAAGTGCTGACATTTGGACTAGCTGGTGTCGTGTTACAGGGTGCTTCAGCATCACTGTTCTCTTGTGTTGCTATGGCAGATTGTTGTGATTGTTGTCCTCTTAGCAGGAGTAAATTACGCACACGTTCCTCATCAAAACTTGAAATTCCACATCGCTACTATTGATATCCAACTCCACATCACTTTGATTGATCCACTGTTTTATTAAATGTGATGCTTCTGAAGCAGTAAATCACTTTGCTGGGCATGAAGATGATGACTGATCAGACATATTGTTTTCAGACAATTGTTTGGTAACGTAGTAGTCCACGCAAATATAGATTTATAGCGTTAAAAACTCACCAGACCCAAACAAATGCACTCCACATGTGTTCACTACACACTTGAGAACTGGAAAGGAAGTTTAAATTGAGGGGTTCCCAGGTAATTATCGATAAGTGGTAAATTAAAAACCTTCGCTTGTTATGCGTAGACTGGGCAGCCAGGTAGTAATTAATTAGCGCGTGATGTGTTTCTTGGGACTCAAAGAGTTAAAACTTGCACTGAGAAAATACTGCTAAAAGTTTTTAAGACGTTATTATTCGTTTGTTTTTCAACTTTGAAATGCATGTTTTTAAGGAGTTTCCTGAGAAGTTCAGGAGACAGCACACAGTTGCCTTGTTACCAAATATTACAACTTTAAATGGCAGTGCCATTAAGGACGCAGAGAGGGAGGATGCCGAAAGATTTTATATAAGATTGTACATGGATAAAGAAGAGAAGACTGCCAGGTGAGAAGTATACAAGAGGACGAAGGAGGATGAGAAAGCTTATTTTTGTAACTATATTTAAACAATTTTGATAAATTTTGTTATTATCTTAGTTATCATCATAATTAATAATTCATTCAGTTCTCCATCTGGGTTATGGGCCTCCTTGCAAGGGGGAAGGGGGGAGCACTGCCTCCACACCCCACTCTATCAACAAGTATGTCATAAAGGTGAATAATTGGGGATATTTCCTTTGAAGTTTGGAGTGCATACAAATACAAATCTGTAAAATGGATGTGTGCGCACACTCAAGTTTTGGAACATAATTTTTTTTTTTGCTGGAGTTTACACAGGTAAACCCTAAGAAGAAGAAGAGATAAATTCAATCACTGGGGTACCATATGGAAAATGACAGTATTTCACTTCACAGTCAAAACTTAATCATCAGTTTTATTTCAGTTTACATAACGCCCACCAGCTATTATGCCTTGCACATCTGGTGTCATCATCATCCTCATGTAACAGGTCCTTTGCAGAACATAGCTCTCATCACGGTCTGCCTGACAGAAACTCAATCTCTCGCCAGCTCTCCCACCTCATGTACTTTTATTCTTAAGGAGTCACTTATATCCTGTGCCCATCTTTGTGTTGGTCAGCCCCCTGCCCCTCCTTCCTGGTACCATGCCTTCTGTTTTTTTTTTTCCAATCCGTTGTGGCGCTTGATATGACCAAAATATTTCAGCTTCTGAGACAGGATGCTGTTTAATAGCCAGTCTTCCTTGATGTTCAGATTTTTGAAGATGTCAGTATTCCTCCTCTTCTTTGTCCAAGATATTCTGAGAATATCTACACATCCTATGTAGATATATGATTATTAGTTCACGCTGCCATTCCAAAGATTCGAACTTGCATCAGGCAGATATGGAAAAGATCCAATCAGGTTTGCTAGAGCCAGAGGCGGATGCTCAAACTTCTGGCCAACATGCCCCAAGAAAAGTTGAGTTTTTACTGTGTACAACTTAACTACATACTGGAAACTAGAAGCAGTTGCAAGAGTGGATGACTAAATTGGAATGTTTCAGCAGATCTGATAATGTGTTTGATGAATGTTCTGAACTTAGCAGACTGCAACTTATAGAGTGAACCATAAGTAAAGTTTGAATGCACATTGAGATTTTTAGGTGTTTTTTTCCCTCCCAGATCAGCTCAGAATAAAATAGGTACCATTGGATGTCGTGGGAAGTAGATAAAAGTGGCCAATTTGATGTTGAAAACATCATCATTACATGTTTACATCATTACCCAAAGAGTGTCAATTTGTCCATACATACATGACTGTAGCATCAAATGCTCACTGTGCTAACTGTGCTACTGGTGTAAAAAGTGTCCTTATTTACTTTACTTATTAGTAAAAGTAAGAAAAAGGACTGTTTCTAAACTAGTTTCACATTAGGCACACTTATCTTTTTATGGATCAATAAGCACTGTTGGGAATGTTGTCAGCATTACACTGAACCATCAGCGACCAGGTCACCCATTGGCTGCAAGATGGGACCACAGTAGAAACATCATGCGCCTCCGGAAGACTCTCAACAAACTTCAGAGCAGAGCAGCAAGCAATTATTGATTCAGCTAAAGTGCTCGAGGAAAGAAAAATTAAAAACAGCAACATTGTTTTCTTTTGTGACTGCATGTCAGTCCTCCAGGCAACTCGGAGGGATCCACGAGGCAACATGGGGAGAGAACTGACCCACCAGCTAAACAGACTCACAGAAAACATTCAGACTGTTCTCCAGTAGATCCCGGCTCACTGCAGCATAGAAGGAAATGAGTTAGCAGACAGACTTGCAAAAAAATGGAACAAAGGAGAAACAACATGCTCATTCCTTGTCATTACCAGAAATCAGAATACTTATCAAAACAAAAATACAAGGAATTGTGGAGAGAACGAACTAACAGTAAACATCCACAAGACCAGACTCATCAGAAAGCAACATACAACAATTTTCCAATTATGAACAGGACACTGCAGGCTCAACTACAACATGCATAAAATAAAGACTGTACAGTCCCCACAGTGTGCCTGTCAAACAGGACCACAAACACCTGCCCACTCTACCTACAATTTCAAAAAGACACCTGGCCTCAAGATCAAAGTGACCAGAGCAAGTTATGGGGAACTATGAAAGACCTGCTACTGACATGCAAATTCATAGAGGCAACCCACCTGATGGTCTCATCTGAGCATACAAAACTGAAGGCAAAGAAAACGAAGAAGAAATGATTTAGCAGCAGGTTGGGACAATATTTGAATCTGTCTCCTTTAATCGCATCAACTCTGCAAGAGTCCTTTTCAGGGCTCTTGGTGGCATGCATTGCTGAGCCATTTTATATAGTACACATAACTTAGTCACAATTATAACCTAAAGTTCCCCATTCGGAAATGCTGGTTAAACATCACGAGTTTTTTTTTTTTTTTTTTTTTAAGCAAAGCGCCACCACAATGCAATGGTCAGTTTTGCAGACACAGAAATCTGTCTGCAGTTCAAACTTTCTTTATTAGTTTACTTTGTAAGTTGTAGTCTACTAAGTTGAGAATGTACATCAAACACTTCTTTTGATTTGTTTAAACATTCCTGCTTGGTTGTCCACTCTTGCAGCTGCTTTTAGTTTTCAATATGTATTCAGTATTTATACATTGTGCTCATTAAAAATGAGCGCTTATAGGAATTTCCAGAGTTTTGTGATGTTGGTTCTTGAAATAAACTCAACTAAACACAGCATAAATACATCTTTTCTTGAAGTTGGTAGACCAGGAATTGGGACATCCACCTCTGTCTCAAGCAAATCGATTTATCTGTCAGTGTTGGCTGATAGATTTTGACAAAATAAAAAACTGAGGATGGTTTACTCTCTCCTGATCCTAGAGTGGTGTATCTGATGTTGGGGCTGACACATAGCAGTTTCAGATTTGTGCCAGGGCACACAGGCATACAAGGAAAAGAGCAAGCTGATAGGCTTGTAGGTAAAGCTACTGTGGAGGGTGGACGAGCCATGGACCAGGCAGATATTCTGAATGCTGTTCGAGAAGTAAAATGTTTCCGAGAACCAAGTGGTGTCTGTGAATCTGCAAACATGACCAGACTTCAAGAACGTTAAAAGGGGTGTGGCTAGACAAGAGGAAGCCAAAGAAGAATAAGAAACCAACACAGAACTGGTGTCATCATCCAGTACACGCTGAGGGATTTACTAAGGAGGGGATCCTAGCACTTATGGACTGAATGATTCGATGTGCAATGAGGCTAGTCTGTCGACTAACTAACTATGTCAACAGTCTTTGACAAGGGCAACAAGCTTGATGGGCACATGTACATGCTGCACACATTAAAAATCTTTCAGTGGTTTGAAATTAAACAGAGCAGGCCAAAGAGGTTACTAAGGCAACGTAAAAATAAAGGACCCTTTTTGGGCTAGAAAGGCAAGTGGCTTATATTGCGAAATCTGTATTTTAATACAGCAGTCAGCACTTGATCGGTGAAATGGTTACATATCCACACCTTTATTTCCCAGGATAATTCCTGGTACCCCCTCTTATGATGAAGACAAGGTCAGTTGTTTTGTTTTTTTAAATCTCCTTTGATGCAGATATGAACTTCTGATTCTCAGGTCAAGACGTGAGTGGCTAGCAAAAGACCACTACCCAGGTGTAATTTCAAAATTAGAAAAGCTACTCAGAAGCAAAAACTGAAAATCTACCCACAAAAAAGATAAACGACATTACATTTATGATTTTGATACACATATATTTAGATCACCCATCATATATAAAAAAAATTCCTGTCATCGGAGGTTAGAAAAAGAATTCTTGCATGCTACAAAGAACCGGTGTTTACATATGGCTGTCTTTTTGTTGTTTGATATTCACCAGCTGTAAATCCCGACAGAATGTTCTGGTTATTTATCCAGTTCTTGACTTTAGTGTTGTTCTAGAACCTGAGTTTTTGTGTGCACATCCCTTTTACAGGTCTGGCTTATGTGTATGCAGACAGCTGGTTCTTTGCCTCTCAGGAAGATGCATGCAGCTCCAAAGGAAATACTACTAATTAGACTACTTTTAGGACATGCTTGGTAGGTGGTCGGTGGGTCTGTTCTGATCTTTCCCTAAACAGGACCATGGAACCCACATGGCTGTTTATTCTGAACATGGTAACCTAGCCAGCATTTTTATTTGTTTGAAGCCTCATAAGTGAGATTTCAGAGAGGAATTTTTACAATTCCTTTAACAGCTAAATTTGTAATTTTGAAATAGGTGAGGGTCCAACAACAGGTTATCACAAACATCAGAAATAGACCATCATGATTTGTAGCCATGTTATGAGAAGAATGAAACCAGAATATATTTTGGCCTATGTAAGGATATATGAAAAGAATGAAACCAGAACATATTTTGACCTATGTAAGGATTTATGAAAAGAGAGAAAGGAAGATTATTCAAAGAGATCCTTGATAGCTTTTTGTCATGACATGGAGGTGTATCAGCTCAACTTATACAGGCTATTGTAGATCACAAAATGTAGAACAGCAGTACTATGCCAGTACTATTCAACAAGGCTTTTGATGATATTTGGATACTTGTCAGTGCTAAGAAGCTTATTTTCTGTGCTGCAATTATCCTTTTGTGACCAACAGAATCATGGACAGTTGGCCCATAATTGAAAAATTATGTGGACACAGCAGAAATGTGGTGTTATAGATAAATGATGAGAACACACTGGACAGATAAAAAGAGCTATGATGTCTTGAAAGAAATGGACTCTTGAAGAGAACTGTTTGTGTACATCAGAGGGAGATAATCAACATGGTTTGTTTATGTCAGAGAGAGGAGACAACTGGAGTACACCAAGATGGAGGGTAAAGGGGCAGAGGGAGACTGGGAAAGAAGATGCTGTACAGTTTGACACATCATGGTGTGGAAGATGATCTGTGTTAAAATCAAAGTACGTGAGACAGAAGGTTGTGAATATTCATGAATACCACTGCCACATGGCATGGAATATAAGAAGAAGAAGACCTACAGAAGGAGACTAGAGTACTCATAGAGATATTGTTCATGCAGTGCAAGTGAATCTTGACACACCACAGACAGACTAAATTTGTTCCCTTCCTCCTGCAGGTACTTTGAGCTTGAGAAGCAGCATGGGAAACTAGACCCACTTGCAAAAGTGATATTTAAGCCAAAGCTTCATGTTAGACTCAAGGTAAAGCATGTGCTGATTGGTAGCTGCTATAATTAACATTACATGAATGGTGATTGCTGTGATATGATGGTGAATACTCTGTTATGTTGGTGAATGCTATGATATGATGGTGAATGCTATGATGCGGTAGGGAATTCTGTGATGTGATAATGCTGGTGGTGAATTCTATGACATGGTGAATGCTATGATATGGTAGTGAATGCTATGATATGGTAGTGAATGCTCTGATAAGATAGTGAATGCTGTGATAAGATAGTGAATGCTGTGATAAGATAGTGAATGCTATGATAAGATAGTGAATGCTGTGATTAGATAGTGAATGCTGTGATTAGATAGTGAATGCTGTGATTAGATAGTGAATGCTGTGATAAGATAGTGAATGCTGTGTTAAGATAGTGAATGCTCTGATATGGCAGTGAATGCTGTGATAAGATAGTGAATGCTATGATATGGTAGTGAATGCTCTGATAAGATAGTGAATGCTGTGATAAGATAGTGAATGTTGTGATAAGATAGTGAATGCTGTGATAAGATAGTGAATGCTGTGTTAAGATAGTGAATGCTCTGATATGGCAGTTAATGCTGTGATAAGATAGTGAATGCTATGATATGGTAGTGAATGCTCTGATAAGATAGTGAATGCTGTGATAAAATAGTGAATGCTATGATAAGATAGTGAATGCTGTGATAAGATAGTGAATGCTGTGATAAGATAGTGAATGCTGTGATAAGATAGTGAATGCTGTGATAAGATAGTGAACGCTGTAATAAGATAGTGAATGTTCTGATATGATGTGAATGCTCTGATATGATGTGAATGCTATGATATGTTGATAAATGCTATGATATGATGGTGAATGCTCTGATATGTTAGTGAATGCTATGATGAATTCTGGATATGACAATGCTGATAGTGAATTCTATGACATGTTGAATGCTATGATATGATGGTTAATGCCATTGTAGCACAGCTCTCTTCTTCCTGTATTTGGATGTCACACCCAGGTTTATCTTTAGTTTGCTACAGGAGTAGTCAGTTGAAGAATATAGATGAGGAGACAAATGGTCATGTCGATAGTATTGATGATGATGAAGATGTCTTGCTAGCTGCTTGATTCTAACATCACTCTAATGCTTGTTTTAAAAAAAATGTCTTTAAAAAAATGTATTGTCTTCATTGTCATCTCTAAATGTGATAAATAACACTTCATAGTCTCAACGACTGAAAGTTATAGTCTGCGAGGGTCTCCATGACTAGTCCATCTTTCTCTTAGTCTCTGCGTCTGAAGGTTCTCATCTGCGAGGGTACATATGATTACCTCTTCCTCAGCAACTGAAGGTTGCTCAAGTGGTTTTTTACCCACTATTTATATCTATTTTAGGACTGCAAAACAAATGTTGTTTTCTGCTCACTAGCTGCTTCTAGAAAGTTCTAGTGTGCTCAAACATGTCTGCTGTCTGCGATCTCACCTTGGAATTGCTTCTTGGTTGCATCATCTAGTTCTGCACCTACATACACTAATTAGGTTGACAGCTGGCCTTCTAAGGTCTTCTGGAAATTCTAGAAGCGAATATTACTGGGCTCTCTCAACAGAATTATACTACATATTATTTATATAACTAGGTTATTCATTTGCAAAATATTCCTCTATAAATAAATAAATGATGGTTCTAGAATGGGAATATCAAGGCTGCTAAGATTTGTTGATTTTCAATATATTCTAGCTATGTTCAACAGCCTATCTCTTAACAGACATGTGATGCTTCTAGAATATTGATAAACAATAATATGGTGTGAATGCTATGGTACGATGATTATGCAATCAGGAAATTAATTGTTTATTGTCCTTTTTGTTGTCATCCCTGTGTGGGCTTAACGGGTTTCAGGTGTGAAAGGGGGGGGGGGTGTCAAACCCACTGCCCCTTTACAGTCTTGTTGTAAAAAGCACCTAGTTAAGGGTTTGTTTGAACTTGTATATGTTAGGTTAAGATTCACAGGTATTGCAGTTGTAGTCATCTAGTTGTAAAGCATAGTAAACCCTCCTTTTTAAGTAAAAGTAAAAAAAAGTAAAGATCCCTTTTCACGCCTTTCGGCGCATCGGGCATATGGGCAGAGCGTCCCATATTTTTACAGACCATCAGCACTCTGTGGGTAATGTGGTCAGCATTACGCCGGCTGTCTTTACTTTCCCAGGACAACCCATCCTGGTACCCATTTTAGGCTGGGTCGACCTGCGAGAGTGAATGTAAAATAAAAAGTTCCCCCTTCACTAGTAACTGTTTAGTAGTTAAGTAAAGTAAAGGATCTTGTTCATGCCTTTATACATATTGGGCAAATAGGGTTAGACCTATGTTTCACTCGGTGGGTGATATAGTCAGCATCACCTTTACTTCCAAGGATTTTGCCTTGTACCCATTTGAGGCTGGGTTGACCTAGGAGGCAAGGTCATTTTTGAAAAAAGCCTGACTCCATCGGGACCTGAACCTACAGCCTTAGGCTCCACAGGCGAGCGTTTTGTCACTACACCACGGCGGCTTCCATTGTTTATTACCTAATTTTAATATGTTGGTAATTGTTTATAACTTACATTGAAATAATCATTGATAATTTATTCATGAAAGGTTCGTGTTGAAGGGCCCAACCAGGAGCTGATCAAAGCTGAAGAAATGGATATAGATGTCAGCCAGACTTTCAAAGATTTGAAGAAGTTGCTGAGTAATGTTGCTGGCTGCTCAGTGGCCAAATTTCAACTCTTTTATCAGGATATTGAATACAGCCAGGGCCCAGACAGATTGCCTAACAGTGACAGGAAATTACATTCCTACAACATGAGAGATGGCGCTGAACTGATTATTGCTTGTAAAGAATAAACTCTGTGATTTATAAAGTGTCAGGTATTGACTAGCACTCGAAGATTCACTGGAAAGAAGTCTTGTTCCCCATTCTCTGCTTCATCATCATCATTGTCCTGCTGTCCCAGTTTATGTCACGTAGGGCTTGCAGTCTTTTCTTCTATTCCACTCTGTCCTGTGCAATCAGTTCAGTATCATGGGTGGAATCCAAACCAGCAGCTTTGGCCTCTCTCATCATCGTTCACTTTAGGTTTTTTTTTAGTATTCTTGCCTCCTTAACTCTTTGAGTCCCAAGGAACGCATCATATGTTCATAGCTTCCCGCCCCTAGGCCCAATGAACGCAAGATGCGCCGATTTTACATCTCTTTTGACTACCCCTTGGGCCTCTAATGCTAAACCCCCTGGGACTCAAAGAGTTAATCCCTTTATTCCCCATTTAAGTTCCTGTTTGGTGATTCTCTTCTCGTTTTTATCTCAGGATGTGTTCAGTATAGTGCCATCTTGCCTATCTTATAACTCTTGATACTGGTGGTTGCCCAGACATTTCTATAATTTGTCACTCCTCTAGAATTCATCCCATTTAATGTTCAAAATTGTCCTCAAGCATTTGTTTTCAGTTTTTAGTGGTTCTCCAACTTTAATTGGCATTTGTTGAAATTTAAATAACATTAGAACTGAAAATTTTACTTTTTTTTCAGTGAATCTATGTGTGCCAGTTATTACGTGTCAGCTTTATTTTTTTTTAATCTTGCTATTGCAGTCTCAAGGGTTTTTGAATGATTTATTTTTTTAAAGAAAAGGGGGTTTCTGGTAATTTTTGTCTCCTCTTGGTCCGCTAGTGCCCTGCAATGTCGAGGTAGGGTATAAACAGTGAGAGAATGCCTGACTGTGTGTTTTGTAAATGCGGGTAGCTGTTTGTAATTCTTCTCTCATCTTAGGATCAAGCACACTGATTAATGAACAGTCCGTCACAGAAGTCATGCTATTTTGAACATCCTGCTCCACTCATACACTGGCTGGGCATGCTTCACCATATTGTACCTTTATTCACAACAGAATTTCTGTAGGTTTCACCTTTTCTTTGATTTGAAAAAAAAAAAAGAAAACCTGATAATAGAACACAGTTCCACTTTGATGTATGTAATGTTGAATCGAGAATCAACATCACAGCACTTGGGACACCACCATAAGAGCTCTGTCCTCATGTTCAGCAGCAAGCGAAGAGTTCCAATTCTGATGGTACCAATATCTGTCTGATTGTATATTCATCTTGCCCTTCCTTTGAGTGTTGATCATCAGCCAGATTCCCTGGTTACTCCTTGCAGCGCCATTCTCCTCATACCATAATGGTCTTTCTGTGCCTCCTTACCGTTCACTCACTCCCAAATGGCCCTCACAACATCTCGCTTGTCATACATCAGTTCACCACTGTGTGGTGCAGAACCAGCCAGTCTGCCTGTTCACTTCCCAACACACCGGCACATCCTGGAGAAATTATCCAAAGGACGCTAACTCACAGGACCTCTTTGATGTATGTGAAATTTGAGGCAACCACATTTAAAGTTATTATTATATCATCATATTGATCTGCGCTGTGATGTCACATTCTTAACACACTTGACATCCTTGCAAGACAGTGTCATGGTTTTTGTCATTTATATTACACTTTTGAGGTTTACATTTAAAGCCCCCTCTTACAGGAAGACTTTGGAAAGGATCAACTTTAGCCTGTTAACCGAAACCACTGTTGTAGAGATGACTTCTTCTTCTTCTTTTGTCAAAATCTGCTTGTGCCGCTAGGCGTCGCAGTCTATCAGATGATCGGCAACCGAGCCAGGGCGCGCTCAGTCGCTTCATATGCCGTGATGTTATGAAGTCTCAAGTTGTCCGTGACTCCTTCAATCCATCTTCTTCTTGGTCTTCCCCTGCCTCTTGGTGTTTCGATTTTCATGTTGTATGCTCTTGATGCTGGCATCGTTGGTTCCATTCTCATTAGGTGACCAAACCATTTCATTCTTTGCTTCTCAATAAATTTAACGATGGGTATGGTTCCAATAGTTCTTGTAATCACATCGTTTCTCACTCGATCTCTTCTGGTTTTATTCGCAGCCATTCTCAAACATCTCATTTCACAGGTGGTTAGTCTTCTCTCGTGTTCTTTTGTTAATGTCCAAGTCTGACATTGATAACCTAATGTCGGTATAAAGATTGTATTTATAATTTGTCTTTTTATCTCAGCTGGGACAGCAGGGTGTTTTAAAATTGGGGCAAGCTGGTATGCGACATTGTTGGCTTGTTGGATTCTTGCTTCGATCTCTCTGGTAGAGATGACACTCACTGATAATGATGGGTGTCAGTGCATATTGATGTGGGATGACCATCTCCATTTCATTTTCTTCTTCTTCTTTTGTCATCTCACTGATATGAGGTTGTAGCCCAGTGTTGTGGTTTTCTGTATTTGTCTTGCGCTTCTTGGGTGGCTTGGGTGATGAATGTCCTTTATGTATTCAGTATTTCTTGTGTAGCAGCAACCAGTTTACTCCATGCCCGCTTGCTAGACCAGTCGCATGGCAGGGCAGGAAAAAAATCTGACCTGGTTGGTACCCATGAGCCAGTGCCCTGTTAGCCTGAAACCTTGCGGCTTCAGTTTTCTGGCCTGCACCACGAGGAGGTGGGGGTTGACCTGTGTGCTCTACGAGTTGTTGGCAGGCTGCTTAAATTTTACTTTTCACCTCTCCGGAGAGAAGCTAGCCAATCTTAACACCGCTGACTGCAGTACCTGAGCACACCCTAACACCATTTCATTTTCTTCAAATAAAATGTAAACTTTCACAAGTCTGGGTCAAACCCAGAGCCTTATTAGGTTAAGGACCCTTTTCCTTTGCTCAGGCTACTGGGCATATATGACTCAACCTGTGTTTTGTAGACCAATCAAACCCGGCTCTCTAGGGTAGTTGGCTAAACCGGATTGTGCGTTGACCGGGTGACGAACTCCTTGTGGTCATGGTTCACTCCCGGGGGGTAGGCAGAAAAGCCACATTTCTCCCAGATTTTCGATATTTATCATGGAATCAAGGCCGAAAGGTTGCGATATCCATAATACCGAGCCTAAGGGGTTAACAACTCATGGCTTCTGGATACTAAAACAAACAAACATAGACCAATCAGCACTTAGTGAGTGATGTGGTCAACATCACACTGGCCACCTTTACTTGCAGGACTACCTATTACACATTTAAGGCTGAGTCAACCAGCGAGCCACATCATGTTGTTTTACAAGTCTGGCTCCATCAGGACCTGAACCCATGACCCTCAGATCTGCAGAAGAGCATCAAGTCACTACACTACAGCAGCTCCCCGTGAGCCTGAATGATTATCACAAAAAAGATATAGCTCTCGTCTGCTGGTCTTGAGTTTGAACTCTGGTCGGTGAAGATGTTAAGCTAGTGCACTGATTACAAGCATACTGTGCCATTTGAATGTGTGTACTGCATGATTTCAATTCTTCTGAGCTATTTTTTTTATTTATGTTTGTTATTTTACTTTAGCCGTGTTTTTTTTTAATGCTATCTATATCCATTTTATACCCAGGCTTTCTAGAAAGTCTCAATTTTGTTTGTGGTTGTGTTCTTTGAATCTAACTAATTTTGTTTTCACCTGCTTTTATTAATTTATTGTTTGTAAATTACCAGAGCCTTCATGGTTGTTGAAATGTGGTATACAGTCTTTTAGTTAACCAAAGTATTGTATAGAAATTGTATTTTTAATCAACACTTGTTTTATTTTCACATTCATAAGGACCTCACATTTGTTTCTTTTACTTCAAGAAAATATGCATTATTCCTCTGTATATATTTACATTTCTAAAACCTCTAAATTTTGAATACAACATTTATTATTATTATTTTAATTTTTATTTGGTTAAAATATTTTGTTTCTTATTTCTTGCATGACCTTTCTTTTCATAGCCAGTTTCTTTAGAACCTTGACATTTGTGTATTTTTGTTCCTATGAAATGCAACATATTCTTCAGCGTATCCTTGTCTGTAGTATCACTATTCCATTAGATGCAACCTTTTCTCAAGTATATTCTCATCTCTAGTGTCATTATTTTATTTAGTGCAACCTATTCTACAATATATTCTCATCTCGAAGGTCATTGTTCTATAAAATTTAGCCTTTTCTCCACTATATCGTCATCTCTAGTACCGTAATTCAATTAAACATGCCATAATTCAATTAAACATAACCTATTCTCCAGTATACTCTCATCTCTAGTGCCATAATTCAATTAAACACAACCTATTCTCCAGTATATCCTCACCTCTAGTGCCATAATTCAATTAAACACAACCTATTCTCCAGTATATTCTCACCTCTAGTGCCAAAATTCAATTAAACACAACCTATTCTCCAGTATATCATCATCTCTAGTGCCATAATTCAATTTAACACAACCTATTCTCCAGTATATCCTCATCTCTAGTGCCATAATTCAATTGAACACAACCTATTCTCCAGTACATCCTATCTCTAGTGCCATTGTTCAGTAAAATGCAACCTTTTCTCCAGTATATCCTCATATGCAAGGTCATTCACTATTCCATGAAATGCAACCTCTTCTCCAGACATCCTCATCCAGACCCTATTCTTTTAAGTGTAGCCTATGTTTCTGGATACCACATCTCAAAGATCACTGTTTGATTATATACAGCATATTTTTCTGTATGTCCTTATCACTAGAGTAACTGTTTAGTGCAACAAAGTCTAGTATGCACTGTGCTGAGTTGTAAACACCCCTGCTGAAGAAGGGACGGAGCACTTATAGGAATGTCCTGAGTTCTTTGGTGTCAGTTCTCATAAAAATCAATGCCATGTGGCATTGGTAGTCATGTCTATCCACAACCTTCTGTCTCTTGTACTTTCAATCAACTCTGACACAGATGATCCTTTTTTTATGCCATGATGTCAAACTGTCCAGCATCTGTTCTCTCGGTCTCCCTTCGACTCTCCTCTC